AGGGAAACAGACCTTCAGATCCACAAAGCTCAAAGATTACCAAACAGATTCAACCCAAAAAAATCTCCAAGATATATTACAGTCAAACTGGCAAAGCTCAAAGACAAAAAGAGAATCTTAAAAGAAGCAAAAGAAAAGCATCAAGTCACCTATAAGGAAGCCTCTATCAGACAAACAGCAGACTTCTCAACAGAAACTCTACAGGCCAGAAGAAAGTGGGATGATATATTAAAGGGTAAAAACTGCCAACCAAGAATGCTATATATACTCAGCAAGGCTATCCTTCAGAAATGAGGGAGAAACAATGTATTTTCCAGATAAACAAAAACTGTGGGAGTTCACCATCAACAAAACCAGTCCTATGAGAAATCCTCAAGGAAGTCCTGCACCTGGAATCTGGAAAATGATAATCACTACCACAAATAACACAAGAAAGAACAAAATCCACAGGTAGAACAAAAACGCAAATGAGAAAGAAAAAGAAACTAAATTTTATCCCCATAAAAACCAGTAATGACAATGTAATAATGCCCCTGCTTTATTTCTGATTTTAGTAATTTTGGTCTTCTCTCCTTTTTTCTTGGTTGGTCTGGATAAAGGTTTGCAAATTTTGTTGATCTTTTTAAAGAATCAACTTTGAGGTTTATTTTCTCTATTGTTTTTAATATCCTTATTTCATTTATTTCTGCTGTAATCTTTATTTCCTACTTAAATTTGCTTTTGGTTTAGTTTGCTCTTCTTTTGCTTTCTATTTTCTTAAGGTAGTAGTTGACATTACTGATTTGAGATTTTTCTTATTTTTAATATAGGAGTTTAAAAATATTAAATTTCCTGTAAGCACTGCATGAGCCCTGCATCCTATAAATTTTGATACATTGCACTTTGATTTTTATCTCAAAGTACTCTCTAAGTTCCTCATGATTTTTCTTTTTACCCATTGTTTATTTAGGACAGTGTTGTTTAATTTCCACACATTTGTGAATTTTCTAAATTTTTTTCTGTTATGGCAGTCAGAGAACATATTTTCTATGATCTTAGTCTTTTTAAATATATTAAGACTTGTTTTGTGACCAAAATAATAATAATATCAACTGAGCCATAAAAAAAGAAAAAAGAATCTTAAACAACAGAGCTGTTTTTGCTTACTGTCCCTTCCCCTATGACAAAAAAAAACAACAACAACATCAGTGACCTATAAGGATAAGGGAAACAGATTTCCATTGGTAAGCCTATAAGGGACCACTGAAGACAAGGGTATGAAAAGAAGTTTTAAGTTATGAGGAACACATTCAGAGATGACTTTCAAATGAAAACAAGCAATTATTTGGTAACAATAGAAACTGAGCATACGCCAAGTCCTGCTTTCTATCTCATGCCTCTTTCGTAACCCTATGTAACCCTATCCTGAACTATGTGACCCAATCCTGAACTTTGTGACCTTCGGAGGAATGAAAGGTGCTCAGGACTACCACCACTGATAGAAGAATAAGAGACTAGTGGATTTATTGTTTAGAAACCATCCCAAGTAAGAATACCAAAGCAAGAAAATGAAACTTTATCTGAAAATAACTTTGGTACAAAGAACACATTGTTGCTGTAAGTCTATAAACTACATATAGTACTGGAATAACTACACAGGCAATGTGAAATGACATTTTAAGGAGTTTGTTTATTTATGCAAATACTAAATCTCGTTAATTTTAAAAAATATTTGTGACCTTGGGCAAGTTTGGTAATCTCATCCACAGAATGGGAATAACAAAGTACCTACCTCATAATTCATTTTGTTGCTACTAACTCATACAATTTACGTAAAACATCTACAGCTGTAGCTGGCACAGAGTAAGCACTCAATAAATATTTTACCATGCCATTAATAACAACAGTGAAAAAATATTTTAGTTCACAAGTATAATTCACCTACCAATATTTCCTTTCAAAGTATTTGTAATACCATGACAGATATATCCTAAATTATACATTAACAGAATCCACAGTAGGCTGGTTTAGGAATAAAGCTTTGAGCTTCTCTCTAAAATAGAGATCTGATCCTAAAGAGTTATATCAGGAACATAGGCTTAAGAAGAGGAGCCCATTTCTAGAAGTGTTAATGTCCCCTATGCAACTTTCTCCTGCTTTGGAATGTATGGATGCTCACCTGCTCCAGAAACATCTCCTGTTTTATACCCACAAGTGTGATTGAGGCTCTCTTCATAAATTAAAATTATTATTACAACCTCTGTATTAAAATGCATGGAAAAAATCTAATTACTCTTAATTGCTAACAGAGAAACACATCCACTTTATTTTGCAATGTCTGCAGTACATTTCACATCTTTCCCCTCAGGCTGAGCTAGAGCTTTATAAAATTTCTTGTATCTGAATTGGCTCCAAGGTAGTATATACCCTACACTACATCTCACATCCCACACAGATTTTAACTTGTGGAAGGACAAAGTAGTCTTAATGTTGGCATTTTGATAGCATAACTCTCTACTGATTCATATATTTGTCATTTTTTACCCTTTCCCCTCATTGTATCTCTTTAAGGAAATAAACTCCCCCCAAAATAGTAACTACTTTATTAGGGACCCCTGATGTCTGCTCCCATAGCATCCTGTTCCTCTGAATTCATAACACTCAGCACAGTAAACACTTGTGAAGACTTATTTACAGTCTGTCTTGCCCGTCAGAGTGAGCTCCATGCAGAAGGGGCTGTGTTTACTCTATTTATTCCCTGTATCCTCAGCACCAGGCAGATAATGGTTGCCCTAAAAATTATGTTGAGTTGAAAAAAACAAAGGCTGACCATATTTCCGTAAAATCTATCATATTTTAGTAGTCAATAGTTACCTTTGAATAGAAGGGAGTGGGAAGTGACTGGGAGGGGGCATGAAAGGGACTTCAGGGTTGCTATTCATGTTCTATTTCTTGACCTGATGGGAATTACTTGGGCATGTTCACCAGCTGACAATTTATTGAGCTGTATACTTATGACTGGTGTGCTTTCTGAATGTGCTACACTCCAAAAAAGTTTGAGTCTATCATAGTTCTTTGAAAAAGAAAGAAAGAAATTACAAGCATTCGGACATTGCCATTAAATAATAATAGATAATAGTTTCTGAACAAGTAAAGTTAAACTTCAAATTGGGACCAAAACATTCATTTATGTTAGAAAGTGCACTCTCAGCCACAGAAACTAACAAGATGTACTCTGCCCCAAAGTCACAATGGGAAAGATTCATTAATTCAGGCAGTGTATATGAAGTGCTTAAAACAGTACCAGGTACATAGTAAGTGCTACATGTTAACTGTTACTATAATTCGTAACACACAATAAACAGTTCCAAATGAAGGCTTAACCTTAAATCACAAGCAAATTGTCTTCATTAGAATCCAAGGTCCGTTTTTCCCTTACGTCTTTCAAAATAGCTTCAATAACCTTATTGAAGCAGTACCTTAATTTACATAATTTATAGTTATGGAGTCCATAACACCACCTGGCTTGTTTTAGTCACATACCCAGGAAGTCAAAATTCCAAGGCTAAGAATAAGAATCATGGAGCATCTTCACTGAAAGCACAGAAATCCTCTAGTATGGTGATTCTGATTCTCCAATATGCAAATCACCGTGGCATTTGCTAAAAGCACAGGTTCCCTGGTCTCCCAAATCAGAGCTTCTGATTCACTTAGTCTGAGAGTAGGGCCCAGGAACTTGCATTTTTTAGCAGATCCTTCAAGTGATTCTGAAGGTTGTTTATAGAGAACACTGAGCCTCTGGTTTTATAGATAAATGAAATGGAGGTCAACAAGGGAAGGGACCTGCCCAGGGTCTTCTTTCTGGCTAATGAGCATGCAAGGACTAAAATGAAGGTGGCCTTTTACCACTCCAGTGTTATTTCCATGACTCCATGCTACAACAGCTTAGGACCCAGAATGGATTCTAGTAAAAAGGAGCTATTATCAACGCCATCTTAAAACATGGCACTAAAACTACACTCTTCATTCTACTAGAGGAGTGTTTTCAAAGTGTAGCAAACAAACAAACCTACAACAAAGTCACCTGGAAGTGCTTGTTTAAAACAGAGTTCTGGAACTAGTCCTTCATAAGACCTGGTGAAACACTGGGGTAGGACCCAGAGTTCTGCATTAACAAGCAAGCACCCCAAATTCTTCCTTTGAATACAAAATTCTGAGAAACATTGGACTAAGGCTGTGGACAAAGAATGCTTCTTGTCAATGAAAACATGTATCAATGAGAGCCAGGTAGTGTTGAACATGCTAATTTGATACTAACAATTTTCCGCTAACAAGAGGTAAGTGCCACCTACTGCTGTATTTTAGAATGCAATGCTGAGGCTAGTTCAATTCCTCTCTCAGTAATTGAATTCACCTTGAAAAATGAATCAGTCCTAAACAAGATATCCAAACAATAGAAAACATTGCTGGAAGGAGACATGAAAATAGGCTTTATTTAACTAGAAGAAAACTTTCAAAGTTAAAGGGTTCTTGGAGTACTAGATTAGTATATCTAATAAACTCCTGTAATTTCATGTTACTGCTAAAACCATAAAAGAAAATATATTCCCTCACCCACTGGCCTTTGCCAACAGTAAAAGGAAAAACAGAATTGCTTAATGCCCTAAAATATTGCAATAAAACAACATGCAGTCATGCTCACCTCCAGCACACCTTCCCCTGGTTGCAAGAGAAAATCGAGTGAAATAAGGACAAGGTTTCTTATCCCATAACATTCTATTCAATTCCAGTATCAAAACTGCCACCTACAGGACACTAGTTGGAAAGTTAACACTCCTTGAAAAGGTACTCAAAATTAGCCTTCTGAATTATAGGCTGTTATTATGTTTAAGGCTGATTTCCCTTTCCAAGTTGCAAATGCATACAATATGCCCGGAGGCTCAGAGATGAGCAAAGCCTTATAAATATTCATATAAAACTAGCAGTTATATACTGTGTTTCAATAATTCAATGACAAATCATAAAATACATCTGTCTTTAATATTTGTTTGTTTTAGAAAAGAAATGGCAAAATATATACACTGTGGAGTTTGAATTCTCCCATCATAGAGTATGAATGATGGTCCGGTTGCGAAGCTCCTGAATATACTCTTGGGCGTGGGTGACTGCCGTCTTTGGTGCCTCAGGTGGAGGAGGGGGTCCTTCCACCAACTTCACAAAATAATGGCAATAAACCTTCTCCATGATCCCAAAGCGACCTCTGCCGTGGTAGCGGATGCGTTTCAGGCACTGGCCCCGCCCTGAGGTGGACTCAGCTAGACAGGGAAGAAAAAGAGAATTATCGGAAATGACTGCTATCCATAAGACTACAGCTTGATCAGCTGAGCAATTTCTGTTCTTTCCTTGACCAGATTCTAAGATTACATGAGCTCACTGGTTGCCTAGAGCAGGCTTGTCTCAAACCAAGTGTTTCTTGAGTACTAACTAAGGACCAGGCACTATTCTAGGTGCTAGAGAAACAAGAGTGAACAAAACTAACAAGTCCCCTGCATCGTTGCAGTTTACATTCTGAAGGAGAAAGACAGAAATAAAATGATAATTTCAGTTAGTGACAAGTGCTATGAATAAAATAAATCGCAGTGATGTGACAGAGATTGATGGAGTGCTGGGAGCAACTTTGGACTGGAGGTCTCAGGAGGTATCCCCAAGGAAGACATATTAGACCTAAAACCAGAACGAATCATCCACAAAAATATCTAGAGACAGGGTATTACAGGCAGAGGGAATGGCAAGTGCAGAGGCCCAATGGTTGTAATGTATTTGGCTTGTTTTAGGAAAAGAAAGACTAGCACGCTGAAGCACAGTAATCAAGGGGAAGACTGGTACCAACAGGAAAAGAGATCAAAGATGAAGGCAGGGGCAAAATTATATAGGGCCCTATAGGCTAAGGCAAAGAGCTTTGATTTCATTCTAATTGTGATGAGAAGCCACTGGAGCCAATGGTTCCCAAATGCTGGTCCTCAGACCACCTACATCAGACTAACCTACAGAATATATTTAAAGTGAAGATGCTAAGACCCCATCCATGGGGATTCGAATTTAATATATTTGGGGTGGGACTTGGAAATTACATTCTTAGCAAACACCCCCACTCCCACCACCCCCAGAAATTCTGATTCACAGCCAGTTTTAGGAACTCTTGCATCACAACTTCCCCCCAACCTCCTCCCCTCATTCTGCATATCAAAGTCTAACTGAAAATTTGAAGAAGTCTTTCAAATAGTACATAAGAAGAAACACGTTCACCTGTTCACCCACAGGAAATCACCATTCTTATATTCCTACTATGGTATAACTATAAATTTAGGGACTATATCAAAGTACACCCTTGTCAACCCTCTAATATCCTTTTGTGAGGTGGATTTCAGCAGAAGTATCCTAGCTTTGCCAAAAAGAAAGCTAAGGATGAAAGTGATTAAGAAAACTGCCTAGGGTCTGTCTCAGTGACATAAGGAAAGAACAACTGCCTTCTTATCAACTTCATCTACTGGCCACTAAAGAAACGAGTTTTAAGAATTTCCAAAAAGAAACCAGCATTACACAAATCACACTATAATGAAGCACCACCAGGTTCCCTGAATCAACCTGTCAAGAAGAAAACTACAAATACAAATGGTGAGATTGGGAAGAGAGTAGAAAACTTCTAAAAAGCATTTTACAAACACAATGGCTGCTTTTATCTTAAATTTCCACTCTACCCAACTTGAGCACCAATTTCCAAATACTCCGAGGATAAGGAACATTACTCCAATGAAAGAAGTATCAAAACTAGCTACCTGTGCAGCACTATATAGCCTACAAAATAAAATGATCAATCCTATCAGGATCTATGTCAACTCTGATTTGCCTTCCATCTCCCCCAAAACACAAACTATGGGGATCTGCACAAGGGCAGAAGAGCTCAATACCTGCTAAAAGCCAGTCATGATTTCATCCTAAAGCCATAAAAGATAATCTGCCTATCTTATATAGCACATGATGCCATAATTTCCTTATGTCAAAACAAAAACATTAATTCTTCAGAAACACCAGGATTCTTGAATACACTGTAATGGGAATACCCAACATAGCCCCCCTGAGGTGTGAATGAAATCAGGCTTCCAATCTGGTTTCTGTCCTCCTCTCCTCCAATCTCTCCTCCACTAATCCCAAATGTTAGGGATTTCAAAAACTGCTTTTGTATGTGGAACATTCCAATTAAAATGAAAACAATATGTTGAAGCCCAATATATAAAACACTGTCATGTGGATCTGTTCAGATTGAAACATGAGTGGGGTAAGATCCAAACTGTACTGTTCATTCACTCAACAAATATTTCTGAGTTTCTACTGAGTGCCAGGCTCTATCCTGAGCTTCAAGAACACAGCAGTGACCAAGATATCAAGGGCCCCACAGAGCACAATTTCAAAACCACTGCTTATGATTAATAGTCTTAAAACACTACCTTAATAACATAAATCTCTTGCCCAAACCTCTTCAATACAATTTGAACCATATGTCATAGCTCTCCATGTTCAGGCTTCTGGAATCTAGACCCAACCCAATTACTGCTTACTTTAACCAATGTGGCCTTTGCTTATGCAGTTACCTCACTTTGAAAATCTGCTCTTCTCCTGGACATTCCTCCAGATCCCCAAAAACCTATCCATAAAAGCCAAATTTTTCTAGAAAATCTCTGACTATTCTAGCCCATTTGACCTTTTCCTCTCTACTCCAACAATACCACTTATGTATATTACTCTTTTTGTTCCCAAATCATATGCTATCTTTATGTGTTCTTGTTTCATCTGTAAAAGCCATTTCCTCAACCAAACCTATACTTTTTGTATTATCTCAAAAGTTCATGATCTACAAGAAAAAGAAATGATTCTGAAATATATCCTCTGCTAATTAATATCATTTTTCAATATGGAAGTCTCTGGTAAATCTGCTCAAATTCTGAAATAAGTTTCAAAGTTTTCCAAGTATTTATAATAGTAATGGTGTACGTACATGATTTTGTTCCAGCTCAGAAGAACAATTTATGTATTCTTCCAAAGGAATACTACTGTCAAAAAACAAAACTGCATATACTAGATGTTTTACACTGAAATAAAAGATATACCATCACCTAATTATGTGCGTAGTATATACAATGTAAGTACTCAAATACTTTTTGAAGGAAAGAAAACATGAAGACATCTCAAAAATAGTAACAACCTGTGCTCTTCCAAAGATAATGCCCAACAGGTACCATGTAGTTAAAATACTGTCAAAATTTCCTGTTACTAGTACGTAGGTAAATGGGAATCTTGAAATTTTAACATTAGAAGCCCTCCACCTCCATAACATGTACAAAACCCCAGTCGATCACTTTCTCTAAAGTGAATCACTTTAGATGCCATGAATCACCCACTAAGCAGTGACATTGTATTAGTCCATGTCCACTTGTTATGGCCTAGTCACAGTATCATAAGTCATCATTGTAAGTTTAAAAAGGAAATGAACTTTCTAAATCTGTGGTCATGCAACACTAGGTATTAGCTTTAGACCGATGACAGGCATTTGAAGGAATTACCATATAATGAGAACATACGCTATCAAAAAAGTACTTTCCAGTACTGAAAGAGCTATTGCTGAACTGAAATGGTAGCCAACAAGGCACTAGTCTTTTAAAACTCTAATAGAAGACTACAGAATAAAATGTCTAGGCCTTTTCTAAGAAAACAATGAAATAAATCAGTTTCCCACATTTTATGGGTAAGAACCACTAGGGAACTTACTAAACAAATAGCTTCCCAGACCCCTCCTCTGGGGTTTCAGATCCAGTGGGCCTGTGGTGAGGCCTGTGAATCTGTATTTTTAATAAGAATCTTAGATGATTCTTATTGAGGAAGTTTGGTAAATACAGGGATAAAATGTCTGTCATGTCATAGTAAGATATTTCATCTTCCTAAGGGTTCTTATCTCTTTTGACTATGGAATTAGGCATCACAATAATTAGTGAATGAAAATTTTTTAAAATCATAAGACAAATCCAAACTTAGCCCTACTTAAGAAAAGTGATTTTTACACAGAACTACATGAAAACAGTGTAGGTAAAGCAGAAATGTGCATAAGAAGGCCTCTTAATTAAAGACCCATTTATGTAGGACTGGTTAAGTATATTCTTGCTTAATAGCAACATTGGACCTAGCTTAGTCATTTGGGATGACAGGATTAAGCTCCTTACCCTCTCTCTCTTTACTAACATTACTGAAAAGGACTTAAAGACAGTTACTGAAACAGATTTAATGACAAACCCTATTTCATTTGTATATGAATTCCATTATAAAGTCTATCAGCTAAGAACGCCATATTCCTATGAAACCGAATAAAATTAATTAAATTTAATTTGATATTCAGTGTCATAGAGCAAGAAAGGTCACCAAGAGGTTTTAAGCAAATGATCTTGCCCCTCATCCATTTCATCCCTTCCAATAATTCTGGGCCCTCCGCAGCATTATTTATTCATGCTGCTCCCAGAAGAAAATGTTTATGATTAAATACTGTGGCCATGCACCTTCTGAATTGCCATTTTAATTTCCCTCTGCATCTGTGCATGTTTAAGAATTAGTTACACAAAATTCAGCCTTAAAATAAGGTATTTCAACTAAAAACCATAACTAATTTGAATTTCAGAAGAAGGTGTGGCTGCCAGCATCAATTCCAGGTAACTGAGGTGAGATTTTAACTTAACCAGAATAAATATCTCCAGTACAGCAGAGGTTATGTGACAAAGTGGAATTTAGATGATTTTTTTACTCTAATTGTTGAAAAATTGTAAAATATAACTAATTTCCCCTGTAATAATTTTCCCCCCATTTGGAGAGTAGCATTTCTCCATATCTTGATTTTAAAATATTTTTAGATAAAACAGTCTTCTTGTATGTGGGTTTGGCAGATTGAGAAAATTTTGCTTCAACATCAACATCTTTGTTTGATTATGAAACTGCTGAGGTTAGGAGTAATTGCTGCTGAAGTGAGAGAAAAACAATAACTCCAACTACTGTTCCACTTTACTGTGGTATTGGGAGGGGGCAAGAACGCTTTATAATAAATGTTGATCTCTTTCTAGGAAAAGAGCTGTGTGAAGGTATGCTGCAAAAAAATCCCTTACATTTGTATTGTGCATCATGCTTCCCAAAGCATTTTCACTTAATTTAATCTGATATGGAACAAGCATATAAAAGCAGAGATAATGCTTCAGGATGTAATAACAAAGGGGAACAAACACATCTGGGTCATCTGAGCTTTCCAAGTCCTCCTTGCTTTTTACAACTTAACAAATCTTTCATTCTGGTAATTGGAATGAAATTATAGGATTCCTTAATGGATTAGGCACCTGGCTTGGCATGTTATAAATAAATATTTTTTAAGTCTATCTGTGATCCTTTATTTACCTCCTTCTGGTTAACAAAAAACTTATTTTTTTTAACAAAATCAGTTATGCTCTTTCTTAGCTTCATTATGATTAAAGGATCACTCTATGTACCAGTCTTGGTATCCATTATTTTATAATTATTGGCACTAGGTTTCATGATCTTAGTCTCATTACAGAATTGCTAATATAACAGCCTGAACAGAAGTGGCTCCATTTTGTTAAACCTTTGAACTGAAAAACTTGTTCTCTCCAGTAACCCAAACCACACAGCCTGCAGCTAATTGCCAGAACATGATGACTCTTGCTCTCACCTTATACACAAAATAGAGAAAAATTATTAACCCAGATGGCCATTCTTTACTAGCTTATTAACCTGAACTTATTTGAGAATAACAGGAACTGAACCTATGGAGAATGAAGTATGATGCTGGTCACCTCCCACACAGGAAGTTCCTTGATGATTTTCTGAAACACTCAAGCATGTCTGCATGTCCCTGCTTGGTCACTATGAATCAACTTTCCACCACAGACCCCTATATGCGGGGCCACACCTGGGGTCCTCCCGCAGACCCAGAAGGAGAAGGAGCCGACAGGATTACCCCCGGTGTTGGGACCGAGGAATCTCGGGGAAAAGTGAGCCTGCTGCCCGCCAACCCAGCCCCGTGAAAGAGACACTCAGACGTGGCAGGGGTTCTGTCAGGGCAGTTCCACTTTATTGCCATTACACTGCAATTTATATAAGCAAGCAAGTAGGGGCTTTCCATGAACTAACCAATCAATTAAAGGATCACGTGGTCATGCATTTTGTGCTAACATGTTGAGCATAGCAATCACGCAAGGTTCACGAGTGTGGAAATACTGGGGGACCAATAAAAACCTTTTGGAGCTATCTTGGGTTATGCCTCCCCTACTTCCCGTGGGCGCCATCTTCATCCTCCACCCATAGGCACCATGTGGCTCACAGATAATGTTTGCTCCTAAAAATGGGCCCAACACCTATAAAACCCTTTGACAAGCCTGGGAGAGTCGGAGATGGTCTTTGAGACATAAGACCACCATTTCCCCAGTCTGTCAGCTTCCTGATTAAAAGCTACCTTTCTTTGTCTCTCTTGGCTACTAAATGGCAGGTAAGCAAAAGGACCTTTGGGGTCTTGGTAACAGTAATAATAGAACAGTGTAGTTATTACCATTTATAACAGATTGACATGCTTAAAGGTAAAGAATAAGCCACTACCAGCAATTTTCATTGGCAAACCCAGTCCTAAATAATTAGATATCAAAGACTGCTGTTAAATAAAGAACATTGGAAGAAAATGGAAGACATTTTCAAATGCTAAGAATATTAAAAATCTTACCTATATATAAATTGGATCTGAATTCCACATTGTGGTCTCTCACTGCCATATCTTGTGCTTCTAAGAGAATCTTAAACAAGGAAAAAAAAGGCATTTATAGGGCTAACCCTGAACTAAAGTGAAATTAAATTTCTTGTCTTTTGTTATCTCTGTAATATGACTGCTAATCACATGCCTTCATTTTCTAGTCAATTTTACAAAGAGAATATCAAGTGATAAGAGTAATAAGGAAAAGGGAGCTTTCTTTCTCAGATAAGAATTACAAATGCAGGGAAGACAGTCCATCTGGCTAAGTTTTAAATGGCATGTGTTAGCTGTGAAAGAGATAGCAACACTCATAAGCAGTACCCTTGGTAAGGAATATTATGACTTTGAGTCAGAGAGTTGTCAAAAAGTTCAAGAAACTCAAGAGTTATATATTATTGAAAATTCTTAAACCTTGGATCAAAAGTAACCATTAACAACATCAGACAAGTACAGAAAATCATAACGGGGAAATTTCCTTTAAGAAGTTAATTAAATTTACTCTCCATAGATATTTCAAATTAACTTCCTCCACTTCTTTAAAAAATAGGACAATTGTCAGAAATAACAGAAACCAGATCTTTTACCCCTTTAAAGATAAAGAACCTAGTACAAGTCTGGGTATACAACAGATACTCAGTAAATGCATTCTGGCTTGAATTAAATATAGTAAAACCACAGCATTACAATGGAACCTCTTAAAGACTAAATCCATCAATCTCAACTGTTCAACTACTAAACTGAAAGATAAGAACTGACCTTAAGTGAGAATTAACTGAAGATACAGAAAATGATGCTGATATCCCCAGATGGTAAGTGACAATAGTCAACACAGCTTTTTGAAACAAGAACAATTCATGTGCCTAGAATGAGTCAGCACTATTAATCATTAACACATTTGCACCTAGTGAATCAGCTACATTCAGAACTGGAAGGGTCTTTAGATATCACCTAATCCAATCCCACATAGTTTATAGATGAGAAAAATGGAACCAGACAGGTTAAATGTCTTGCCCATGGTCACAAGAAAGATATGAGAGGAAGGACTAGCCACCAAGTTTCCTGAGTTCCGGTCCAGTGCTCTTTCCACTCAACTAGTTATAAAATCATAAGCTGTCATTTATGGAATTGATAAAAAAAAAAAAAAAAAATCTTCTAAAAAATATACCAAGCCCCAAATCATTAAAAATAAGATTTATCTTCACAGACAGACAATAAAAAATAAATAAATGTTTGGTGTAAATGAAAGCATCTCAGGAAAAAAAAATTGCCTACAGCATACCACATTCCTGAGGCACAAAGACATTAATAAAACTGAATGCCCTAAATCTGTATTATATAAAGTATGCATTTACATCAGAAAATTCATGGAATTCAGAATTTAGGCTAAGCTTACTAACATCCGCAAGACAGCTGGATGTCCCCCCCATCTCCCCACCCCAATCGTACAAGTTTACCTCCTTAATTATTTGAGCCCCTTTTTTGTCACTGAATTCCAACTGAGCCAAAGCTTGGTTAATGGACATTCCTCGTATCTAGAATTAAAGGATGACAGGACAGAACAAACAAATTAGTTTACAAAGTCAATGTTCTCTTTTCAATGAAAAGTAACAGCCTTACATAATTTGAATAACTTCTAAAAACAGTGAACTAAACCCAGGCAAAAAAAGAAGAAAACTAGTTTGAGAACAAACGCCGCCCTCTTTAAGTCAAAAGTCAAACTTAAATAGTTTGATTGTAATAGTGTAATAGTTTCAATAACATTAAAAGAGAGCAGACATGACAGAGAGAGACCACAGGTTGGAAACGACCACACAAGGCATTAAAAAGGCATCTCCTTCTATTACAGGATAAATGTTATTACATATATATTTGCTGCCTTTTTCTCCCTTCACCTATAAATTTCATTTTTCAGGAAAAAAACTTTAAAAGTTTCTAAACAGATTAAATCAACTTTTACAGATAAGTAAGTTTCTTGGATTCTCTAGTTTTAGCTAGACTCCTGATGCCTTTGTTTTAAATACCTATCTATCCAATGTGATTTAATTTCTCAGAAAAAAGGTAAAAATTAAGCAAAATCATACATTTCTGAGGAATCATTCCTTTGATTACCTACCAATTGTCTGAACATGTAACTACACATTCCTCACTTTTTGGAAAAATCAGGGCAAATCCTTTTGATTTTTCAAATTCTGGGGGGTTCTTTTCTTAAGTATTATATAGTAATGGTCATTTTAGCTTACCAATTTTGCCAAATACCACATCTTGTCTTTGCTGTATTTTATCTGTCTTCGACAGTGGTAGATTTCCTCACAAATAGAAAAACAAAACACAAACAAAAAAAAAAAGACTTTAGCAGATTTAGCAAAATAATAGTAATATAAACTATTATTAAAGTTTTCACTTTCTCTACCTAATGAAAATGCTGCCAAAAGAAATTAAAACATTACTAAGTATTTGGAGGTTCTTTATCCCTCTACAAAGTTGTATTTACATTAAAAGATTACTAAGGGAGAAACAGAAACTATAAAATGGCAAGTTTACGCCAACATTTGCAACATTTCTATCCAGAGGAACAGTAAAAGATTTAAATGAAAATACCTTGAAAATATTTAGCTAGTTAAAAGAACAAAAGAAAAGGTACAACAACAAAAGTTCACTACTAGTAAGAATAATCTCAAGATGGACAAGTGTTTTCCTATGAAAAGCCAATATTCTAGGTGTCTGGTCAACAGCATAGGTTCTAAAATCAGACTGCATGGGTTTGAATACCAGTTCTGCCATTTACTATCTATATAACTTTAACCTCTCTCTTTAAAATAAAAATAATAGTATCTATTCCATAAAACTATAATAAGAATTCAATAAAATAACCTATGTAAAGAAAGCACTTTACAGTGCCTGGCACATGGCAAATTCTCAGTAAATCTTAGCTTTTATTATCTTCTACTTAGTTGTAGGTATATCCTGCTTAACATTTTTTTAATCAATCACCTACTAAACAATTTAAAGTTCACAAAGCACTTTTCAGACCCATTATTTCATTTAATCTAATTCTACGAGTTGGGAGAGGAAACATTTTATAACCTTTTTTACAAACTGAAAATTGGAGAAATCAAGTGACTTATCTAAGACCACAAAGCTTGTGAGAGAGAGCTGGAAGTCAAAGAACAGGGAAGTAAGTGAAGCACCTAATATAATGTCTAGCAGGTATACCTCTAAAAATTCCAATACTAACTCTAAAACCCACTTTCTTTCCACCATACCACACTGCCACTTTAGAAAAATGAGAAAACATTTGTTAAGGCAATCAATAGCAAGGAAACCTCAAAACTTTCTAACATTCTGTCTCCTGTTGGAAATTTTCAAATGCTTTAGAAACAGCAGAGTTCTCTCAAGTGGCTCTTTTAGTATGTAGCAGATTTCATTTCAGTTGCAATAGAAGCTGACAGGCTGAAAACTGTAGCGATAGCCTAATTACATTTTCAGCAATAAGTGTCCTGAGGAGCAAGGGAGAAGAAAGAACTGTCATGACTTACAATATTAATCTGCAAAAATTAATTCACTCAATGAAATCTTTTACAGAGTCATGGATTCCAGTGGTAGGCTATCTTTAAATCTGAATTGCATATGATTATCCCCAAATTTTGTGTAAAAAAACCCAAAAACAAAACCAAAAATATCTACATATATATATACACATATACACACACACATATTTGTATACGTATATTTATATGTGTGTATATTTATTAATCCCGGCAAGAGTCTGGATGAAAAGGAATACAG